TGTACCCCGATCTATAGGACCTGTGAGGAAAAATTACTTATTTTGAAAAAAAATAAAAAAGAGAGAGCAATATGAAAAATCTAGAAACGAAGAGTACACATAGAGGGTGTGAGACATTATTCTCATTATTGAAAATCATGCATAGAAAAACACTTACTGCAAAATAAGTGGATAAAGTGAAAGCCCTGAAAATGAAGTGTACACATAGAGGGTGTGAGACATCATTCTTATTGTCAAAATTTTTCTACGAAAAAAGCTACTTATCCACTATATATATAAAAAAAAAGAGAAGGAAGAAATATAGTACAAACTTCAAAAATAAAGCCATGAAAAAAAGGAAATATAAGATCAATATATATTCTTGGATGAGTATTAATAATTAGAACATCTTGTAAATATATCTATGAGTGAAGAAGTGATAAAGATGTGAATAGAAGAAGTGAAGTCTAGATTGTTATTCGAAGAAATGCTTAAACATTTAAGTGCTTGACATCATTCTTAAATACTTGATATAAGAATCTAAAGTGTCTAAAGGTGCATCATTTCTGATTGTATTTTTTTTCTTTTTATGTATTGAAATATGATGTTTGAGATTTGTAAATTTTTACTTTCGTAATTCCATTGCTAAGGGACTAGCAATGATTTAAGTTGGGGGGTGTGGTAAGTCTTAATTATCATGAGTTAATAATTAGTAAATAATATAGTTTTAGCCTTAATTCATGATAAATAGACTTATATTTATGTTAAAGTGTGAAAAGTTGTTTTCAATTGATTAACGTGAATTTTTGGGTAATTATGTGGCTTTATACGATTTTACATGATTTTTATAGTTTTACTTTTGAGATAAATGAAGAAAAAGAAATTAAAATAAAAATAAGACAAAATGGGGGGACCCGCTGGCCAATTGGGCCTACAAGTAGATCGGAAGTGCAATCGAGGAGTAGCTTTGAGTAGGGGCTCGAGTGGCTTGGACCAATTGGACACATGTGCGCCACCCCCCTTCCATGTCACTGGTGGCCAATCGACTGTGGGACAAGGAGTGGTCGTACACATGCGAGAAAGGGACTTGATCAGAAATGTAGTATTACTATATATTCACTAGAAATTTCAGCACACAATTGATGTGGGACTTTTTAACCCACGTCACACCTCCCCAGAAACGGTGAGGATGCAACCGGTGTAGGTTCAAATCCTCCCAAAGCCAAAATTCATATTTTATTTATTTGATTATCGTGACTTTCCTACAGATCGTTGGTGAAGAATTAAGCAACTAGAATCACTGAATCATTGATGAAAATCTTGTCAACACGATTCGTGGAGCATTGTTACTAAAATTGCTAAACGATTCGCGATAAAAGCATCGCAAATCCATCGAGTAACTCATCTCTGATTGATCGACGAACAAGCTGTCATTGGGAAGAGGACAATCTGCCGGGAGACGAGTCACCACCTCTTGAGAGCATACTAGATGTAATGAAGAGCCTCCTCTTGCTGCACAGATCTGAGGATGAAGCTTCTTGACACACACCTCACCTGCATCCAGCTCCTCTTTGTCAGGTGACAGCCACTAGAGAGCTGCAAAGTTGTCATTTTTCCGTTCCACTAGGGGTGACAGTCACCAGAGAGGATTCAACAACCCATTCATTGATCTTTAAACTTTGCAAGGAGATCTAGAGACTGCTCACGTTGTCTTTATCCAAGGAGAGCCTTCAAGGCCATGGACATTGTACGACAATCCTCCCGAATGCTCAAGATTCTGGTGCATCGCCGACGCATCACCGCCTTGACGTCGGAATTTTATTTTCCTACTTTCAACTTAATTTTCGTTCCATTTAGTGATAATTTGTTGATTTTAAATTTACAAAGATATACTTCATTTCATTACGATTCTTCTGACTTTTGTAAGAATCACTAGGTGGAACTCTATTTTCACCCGATTTGCATTCGCCAAGTGCTAGCATCATCCTGATGTCTACACCCGTATTTCTTTTTTTTGTAAATTTTAAATATATTTCATTTTCATTTACTAGTATAAAATTCATAGAAAATAGTATTCTTTGAGGACAATTTTGAATAATTGCCAGATACTATATTACATCCCTCTGATTGACCTAGAAAATTACCATTATTTTTGAAATTTTTATTGAATTATAATTGATATATTTATTCAGAAATATTTCTAAATATCTGAAAATTTATATTTTCTAGTTTTATAAATTTTAAATTTGCATGATTTATAATACAACGACTAAGTCACATCAATAATCAATGTATCCCTTTCTAACATGTGTATGGCCACTCTTTGTCGCATGCCTAATTGGTCATTGGTGATGTGGAAGGGGAGTGACGCACATGTGTCCCCCTATCAGTTTATCTTTAGCCGCTCAAGCCCTTACTCATGATTCCACCTGTCAATGCTTCCAACCTATTTATGGGCTCGACTAGGTGGCATGTTTTCTCTTTCTTCTATCTTTTTATTTTATTTCTCTTTATTTAACTCAAAAATAAGATTATAAAAATTATATAAATTCACATAAAATCTCATAATTAGCCAAATTAACTAACTAAAAACTATTTTTCATAATTTGACGTAAATATAAGTCTAAATATCATGAGTTAGGATTAAAACTATATAATTAATTAATTATTAACTCATGATAATGAAGACTTATCAACCATCTTCACTAAAGTATGTATTTTTTGATTAACATCAAACTTATCCAATGATTATATCATCGTATTTGTCTAAGGATCAAGAGAATAGATTACTTGATGTACTTAGGACATAAAGAGAGGTGATTGGCTGGTCCCTAGCAGATATTTGAGGACTTGATCTATTTGTGTGTATGCACATATTTTATTGTGAGCAGAACTATCATTTCTTTTTATGCATTTCCTTACTAGCTTTTGTTTCGGACATATTTTATTGGTCGAGTGCTTTAGTTAGAACTATTCAGGGGCAACAGTGTAGTAGATGGGGCATAAAAATCAGAATTTTCTTTGCTTTTCCCTCCTCTCACATGCATTAAGGACAATGCAAGACTTAAGTGGGGGAGGTTATCTCTTCCTTCATTTGCATGCATTAAAGATAATGCATCATTCAAGTAGGGGGGAGAACAAAAAAATTCAAAAATGTTATGAATATTTTAAAACTTTTACTGCATTGATTATTTGCACAAACCCATATGCTTAAACGAACAAAGCCTAATGCTCCTTTAAAAGGGTAAGTCAATTAGAAAAGTTTACCTTCTCTAGATTAGGGGTGTGGATCTCATGAAAAAAAGATAGGTAAATTCCTTACCATGATCATTATTCTTTGAAGTATGAAGGAGTTTTAGGTTGTATTCATGGGTATGTGGTGCGACAATAAATGGCTAATGATAGTATATTGTGGATGAAAACGATTGAACTAGATCATCTTAGTCTAGTTATTATGTTGTGGTTGATAAGTCTTCATTATCTGTATTTACCTTATATTTATCAGTATTTAGTGCATAAAATTAATGAAAATAATACATGTTACATTTAATTCGTATGCATTCAGATCATTCATACATAAACATGTATTTTAATATTTTCAAAATTATTTTAAAATAATTAATTTTAAATAATTATGCATGAAATATTTTTAATGTGAGTTTTAGGATTTTCTAAATTTTATCCTGGATTTTTTGAAATTTTCTAGAATTTCTCATAATTTCTAAGAGGTTTTGATATAAAGGTCTAAAATAAAAGAAAATCAGAATGAGTTGGGCTGGGCCGAGCCAAGTGACCCAATGGGCCGGAATATTCAGAGGCTAAAAGTTAAACCATCAACAGGTCGACAGTGGAAGCAGAACCGACGAGTTGGCATGACACTTAAGCAGATGTGGGACACGTGGCCCACACGGGTTCGACGACATTTCAACGGACATCGTGAACAGAAATTGGCACAATTTACGTCAGACCTCAAAGAGAAATGTAATTGGAGATCCGTACCTAATGGCAGAACGTGAAAGAAGAGCGGGTGATAGAGTAAGGCTGTCATTGATCTCTCTTTCTTTCGCGCCTTTTCTCGCTCCCTTTGTCTGTCTGCTCTCTCTCACTCTATCTTGCTCTCGCTTTCTTTCTGTGGATGCGTCCTCGCTCTACGAAGCACGGCGGAGTTCGGACAGCCTGCCGCCTTCTCCTCTCCTCTCCGTCGAGTTCTTCTGGAACCCTTTCTCGTGCGCGAATCCGGAGGAAGAGTGGGAGGCCGCATCCGGCGGAGGAGTCCACCGCCGAAGACGCCGAGGTCACGGTCGGCGCCGCCTCACGGAGAGGTCGTACGTTCCCAGGCTTCTGCTTCCCTGAAAGGCCGCTCCGGGTATGTTCTAGTGCCGTCTTTCGACGAATTCTCGCCTTTCGTTGATTCGGGGGTTATGTTCTAGTGCCGTCTTTCGATGGGTTCGTGATTTTCTGTGTCGGGGGCATCTTCTTGTGGACTCTTTGGATGGGATCTTTATTTTCTTTGATTTGGACTTTCGGTTGCCTGCGGTGGTGCGGGTGGTGCGAGATTGCTGAAGAAAGCTCTGGCTTTCCTCCTTCCTCTTATTTATTTACCTTCTTCCGATTTGTTTTGCCGCTTCGTTGCTGATTCGATTTGATGTTTGGTCTGGGTAGGGGGATCTATCTTCTTCTTTAGACTTCCATCCGATTGCTCTTTGGGGACGGATGAGTGTTACCGTCTGGAGGAGAAAAGATTATTTCAGCAAGGTTTATCGATTGACGGTGACGGGTGAGCGTGTTGAATCAAGGGGCACATTCGATTTTCGGATCGCTGAGCGATCGACCAGTTTCTGGAGAAGAACCCGGTGATTTCCGGCAGGAAACAACACCCTCCGTACCTGCAGCTCTCCCGAGCGTTATTCCCCACCCAGAAAAACCATCAGAACTTGGTGGCGGGCTGTCCTGTTGAGAAAGCAGCTGGAATCGAGGGAGGAAGTGTGGACGAGGTTGTCGGGCTACAGGAGGAAGCGAGGATGTCTCCCATCCCGGATCGGGTACATGCTTCGACGTCCCTCATTCCTTTCCTTGACGGCGACTGTAGAGAGCTTTCTCTCTCCATCCCAAAGCACATCACATCTTGACAATAGGAATGTCCTATCCAAAATCGACAGGTGCAGGTCGGAAATTCTCCATTATACAAGGTAGAGAGAATGTTGGGTGCAGGAGGTTTTGGGCTGGTCTACATTGGACGAAGGGTGGCTGGTGGATCTCAGGGCGATGGGCCCAATGCCTTTAAGGTTTAGTTTCAACCTCCCATCACTCCTGCCAAGGGAATCTTTAAATACTGCTGTTTTATGTTGTCTCTTTCATTTTCCTGCGGTGGGTGTAGGTAGCACTGAAGTTTGAGCATAGAAATAGCACGGGTTGCAGATTTGGCCCCCCATATGAATGGCAAGTTTATGAGTAAGAAGACACCCCCTACTGCTCTAATTTATTACGTATTGTGTCGATCTAAAACTACGTTCTTCATCTGACTTTGTGAATATGGTTTTAGCCATCTCAAGGGATGCTATGGATTGCCTAGGGTGCACTACAAGGGCCGCCAAGGAGATTATTTCGTCATGGTTGGCGTAGAGTCTTTCATTTTATTGTTTCCTCGAATTATGTTTTTTATTGAAAGCTAATTATGATATTGTTGATGATGATTGCTGCAGATCATGGACATCCTTGGACCAAGTCTCCTGGATGTGTTCATATCCATTGGGCAAGTGTAAGAAAATAATCTTGACTTCATATTCAAAGTCAATATTCTGTTGAGAATTGTGCTATTGAGTTTGACTAACTCCTTGGACAGAATGCCACCAAATATGGTGGCTTGTATTGCTGTGGAGGCAATATCCATCCTTGAGAAGCTACACCAAAAAGGGTACGTATGGCTTTGTGGCAGTGTGATATTTTTTCAATTAAATTTTTGCAAAGGTCACAGTAATCAATTCATTGCTCCCTTGTGCACTCCCCTCCCTCCCTCCACCCACACAAAAAAAAAAACATGCCAGGTTTGTGCATGGAGACGTCAAGCCAGAGAATTTATTGTTGGGTAAACCCGGAAGCTCAGGGGAGAAGAAGCTTTTTCTCATCGACTTTGGGCTGGGTATGTTGCTGCATTCCAATCACTTCTTGTTTTCACCTTTCGCACCTATTGATTTTAGAGTAGGGTTTGTTTTTCCAAGTATATAAACAAATTCGTCTTGACTGAGAAGTCCCTGTCTGTATCAACATCAGTGATATTTTTGTGCTTTGTTCAGAGCCTGTACAAATGCTAATTGGTGTCATTAATATTTTAATCAGCTTCAATGTGGAGGGACAGTTTGTCAGGCCAGCATGTCAGCTTATGCCAACAGCCAGATAATTTCAGGTTTTTTGGGAAACGATATTCTATTTTTTCCCTAAATTCTTAGCTAAGAGGAGGATTCATAAAATCTTACCCCTACCTTACTATCTATCTCATGTTCCCTAGGGGCACAACACGATATGCAAGCGTCCATGCACATTTAGGCCTCACAGCGAGTAGAAGAGATGATCTTGAGTCATTGGCCTACACTCTGATTTTTTTGATTAAAGGAAGGCTGCCGTGGGAAGGCTATCAGGTTTGCTTTCACCTCTACTTGTACATGTTCTCCCATCTCTTTGATTGATCACTTGCTGATTCTTATGCCAACTATGTAGGGGAATGACAAGAGGTTTCTAGTCTTCATGAACAAGACTGTAACCTCCCCCGAGACGCTGTGTGGTGGCTGTCCCCCTCCTTTTGCACAATTCCTTGAAGCAGTGAAGAAGATACAATTTGTTGAGCAGCCCACCTACTCGAAGCTCATTTCTCTTTTTGGAAGCTTGATATGCCCCCCCTGCACCCTGTTAAAGACCATTCGGATTGATGCAATTTTGAAGGTGGTTGCAAACATGACATCACTGAAATTACCTCACATATTTTTATTTTATGTCAGATGGTTTTATCTCTTTTTCATGGCTCTATCATCTGTTGTTAAATAGGCTGACCATGTTTCCAACAGGTTCACCAAAAACGTGGAAGATTGCAGGTAAATAATGAAGAAGATGAGTGTCATAGAAAGAAACGGATAAAATGTTTGATTGATGACAGACCATGACCATGTACATGTAAGAATATAAATAAAATCTGTAAAGTGCCAATTGAGAAAACATAAATCTCATGACTAAATTATTTATTATTATTGTTATTATTTATTCATAAAGAAAACGATAGTTTAAAAGCCTCATATTAAGGGCATGAATATAATACTTTTTTAATGTAATCATAGCTATTGATAAAGGTGTGTAATTAATATTTATGCAAAAACAGAAACTATATCAATCAATGATAATAATACAAGACAATCATTTAGAGGGCGTGAGTATAAGTAGATATTTATATCATAGTTACTCTTGCTAGGAATATGTATCATTTATTGCCAACATTTAAACTTTAGAAATGTTTTGTACCTACTATCTATTCACCTTAGAAATGGCACCACTTTGGACGTAACCTATTGAGTACAGGAATATAATATGTTTAAGTACATTCACACTTACAAATTATCAGAAATAATTATTAGACCGATAAATGTAAATTTTATGCATAAATAATGAATATTACTTTTTTATAAGAAAGCTGGCACATAAAAATACAGTATTAAAGGGAAGAAATCTAATATTATTTCATACAATCATAATGATTAGTTGCAATGAATAATTACTATAGTTTACCAAAATGAAAATTTTATCAGTAAATAAATGAACACTACAAGTATTGGATTAAATGGCACGAATTTGATAGTTTAGGTTATATTTATAATTACTAATCACTATGATTAAAATTATTTATTAGAATATGTAAAGTTATGAAGAAATAAGAATTATGTATTGGAAGCTTATGTGTCCACCAAAGGACACACATCCACCCCATAATGTGTTTAGAACCACATGTAGTCCAAAACTGAAAGTAATGTAATGTCGTAATTGGTTCCCATCATAGTAAAAGTATGATTTCTTTAGTGATGATCTAAAAATTAAGAAGCATCTAGATTCATAGAAGATTGGGTATATAAAGAGGAGTTTGAAATAAAAGTCGCATAGTTATGCTTTGTAATGTTTTCAATTTGAAAAGCATATCTTGACAAAGTTAAATCTTATATGATTCACATGAATGAATGTCATCGTATATACTTTTTATACATTGCACCCTCTAGATGTTTTCCTAAACTTGAAGAAAAATGTACCCATCGTCAAATCTTGATTCATTCCATTGATGAGTGGAAAATAAATTTCTTGTCTAAACTAGGACTTTAAGCATAAGTAGGAAGTTATTGTATTAACAAGTGTGTCGATTTATGAGGATGATGAATTAATCATGGAAACTATTTATTGAAACAAATTATTATCTATTTTGACTGTAGTCTAATGTACAATTGTAATTAAGAGTTACATAATTCTATATGCGACCCCTATTAAATGTTTTTGAGCCAAATCTATATTGTATATAAATTTGTATATAATTTTACACATATAAAATGAATTTTTTGCCTTTTTAAGAGCACATGTATAATATTTTCAAGTATATTATTTTTACCTTTATTATTTGTTAATATAATGTCTTTTTTTGTCATAATAGGAAACCACTGATAAGTTTTCATTATCATGAGTTAATAATTAGTAAATTATGAAAAAAAAAAAATTTTCAATTGATTAATGTGATTTTGTTAGCTAATTATGTAATTTTCTATGCATTTATATGATTTTTATAGTCTTATTTTTTGAGATAAATCAAGAAAAAGAAATTAAAATAAAAATATAGTAAAAAGAAGGGACCTGTCAACCAACCAGGCCTGCAAGTAGGTCAGAAGCGTAGTCGGGGGTAGCCGCAAGTAAGGGCTTGGGTGACTAGGACCAATGGAGGCATCTGTGCACCACTCCCCTTCCACGTCACCGATGGCCAACCAAGTCTGAGGCAAGGAGTGGTTGTACATGTGAGAGAAAAGTACTCATTACTTGTAAATATGATATTACTATATACTCGCCTAAAACTTTGGCGCACAAGCGATGTGGGACTAAACCCACTAATAAGTTTTCATTATCATGAGTTAATAATTAGTAAATACTCATGATAAATAGACTTATATTTGTGGTAAAGAATGATTTTTGGTTTTCAATTGATTAACGTGAATTTTTGGGTAATTATGTGATTTTATACGATTTTTACAGTCTTACTTTTGAGATAAATGAAGAACACGAAATAAAAATAAAAATATTGCAAAAATTGGGGGACCCGCCAGCCAGCCATGCCCGCAAGCGGGTCAGAAGTGCAGTCAGGGAGCAAGCCGCGAGCAGGGGCTCGAGCAGCTTGGCTGGGGGACCGACAGGGCACGCGTACGCCACTCCCCTTCCACGTCACCGGTGGCCAGCCGGCTATGGGGCAAGGAGTGGTCATACACACGAGAGAAGGGACTTTTCTTACAAAGCTAACATTACTATATATTCGCCCAAAAAATCGGCGTACAACCGATGTGGGACTAAACCCCCGTCACACCTTCCTTAGAAGAGGCGGGCGACCGGCGCAGGTTCGAATCCTTCCAGAGTCAAAATTCATATATTTTTATCTGATTATCGCGACTTTCCTGCAGATCGCCGGTGAAGGATTAAGCAATGAGAATTGCTAGATTATCGGTGAAAATCTCGTCAACACGATTCGCGGAGCATTGCTACTAAAATTGCTGAACGATTCGCGATAAAAGGATCACGAATCCATCGAGTAAATCATCTCCAATTGATCGACGAACAAGCCGTCGTCGGGAAGAGGACGATCCGCTGGGAGATCAGTCGCCACCTTTTGAGAGCGTACCAGATGCGATGAAGAGCCTCCTCTTGCTGTGCGGACCTCAAGATGAAGCTCCCTAACACACGCCCCACCTCCATCCAGCTCCTCTCTGTCGGGTGACAGCCGCTAGAGAGCCACAAAGTCGCCGTTTTTCCGCTCCGCCGGGTGACAGCCGCTGGAGATGATTCGACGACCCACTTCATTGATCTCTAGACTTCGCGAGAAGATCTAGAGATTGCCCACATTGTCTTTGTCCAAGGAGAGCCTTTGAGGCCGTGGACATTGCACGACGATCCTCCCGAACGCTTAGGATTCCAGTGCATCGCCGACGCATCGCCGTCGCGACGCCAAAACTCTATTTTCCTGCTTTCAATTTAATTTACGCTTTATTTAGTGATACTTTGTGTGATTTTAATTTACCAAACTATACTTCGTTCAATTACGATTCTTCTGGCTTTTACAGATCTTAATTTGATTAATTAAGTCGTCTGTAATCGCTTACGTAAGAATCACCGGGCGGAACTCTATTTCTGCTTGATTCGCGTTTACCAGGCGCTGACGTCATCCTGACGCCCGCACCCATATTTCCTTTTTTTTTTGTGAATTTTAAATATATTTCCTTTTTATTTCCTAGTATAAAATTCGTAAGAAAATCATATTCATTGAGAAAAATTCTGAATAATTACCAAAGATTATATTACATCCCTATGATCAACCTGGAAAATTACCGCTATTTTAGAATTTTTATTGAATTATAATTGATCTATTTATTTTGAAATACTTCTAAATATCTAAAAATTCGTATTTTCTAGTTTTATAAATTTTATATTTGCGTGATTTAATATACAACGACTGAGTCACGTCACCCACATCACACCTTCCCTTGAAAGGCTTTGAAGATTTTAATACTTAAATTACTCCTTAGTTATAATAAAGATATACTATGAGGACGTCACTTGATAATGGCATTAGAGTACTTATTTCAATCTCTCTTATGCAGGCGGGCAATCAGCACAGGTTCGAATCTTCCTAGAGCCTAATGAAAGATTATCTCGACTTTTCTATAGATCACTAGTATAGGATTAAGCCATTAAAATTGTTAGTTCATTGGTAAAAATCTTGTCAACGTAATTCACAAAGCATTATTACTAAAATTGCTGAAAATAATTCGCGATAAAAGGATCACAAATTTATTGAGTAAATCCTCTTTGATTGATCGATGAACAAGCCGTCATCGAGAAGAGGACAATCTGTAGTGAGATGAGTCACCACCTCTTGAGAGCATACTAGATGCGATGAAGAGCCTCCTCTTGCTGCACATACCTGAGGATGAAGCTCTTTAACATGCGTCCCACCTCCATCTAGCTCATCTCCATCGGGTGACAGCTGCTAGAGAGTCACAAAGTCGTCATTTTTTCACTCCGCTAAGTGATAGCTGCCGGAGACAATTTGATGACCCATTTCATTGATCTATAGACTTCGCATGGATATCTAGAGATTGCCCACATCGTCCTTGTCTAAGGAGAGCCTTTGAGGCCGTGGACACTACACGACAATCTTCCCAAATGTTCAGAATTCTTGTGCATCATCGACACATTGTTGCCGTGACATTGGAATTTTATTTTTCTACTTTCAACTTAATTTCTACTTCATTTAGTGATACTTTGTGTGATTTAAATTTACCAAACTATATTTGATTCAATTACGATTCTTTCACCTTTTACAGATCTTAATTTGATGAATTAGATCATTTGTAATCCCTTACACAAGAATCACTAGGCAAAACTTTGTTTCTATTTGATTCGTGTTCGTCGGGTGCTAACATCATCCTAACATCTACACCCTTATTTCCTTTTTTCACAAATTGAAGTATATTTTATTTTTATTTCTCAGTATAAAATTCATAAAAAAGTTATATTCTTTGAGAAAAATACTAAAAAGTTACCCAATATTATATTACATCTCTATGATCGACTTAAAAAATTACCACTATTTTTGTAAATTTGATTGAATTATAATTGATATATTTGTTCAGAAATACTTCTAAATATCTAAAAATTAGTATTTTCTAGTTTTATAATTTTTAAATTTATGTGATTTATAATACAACGACTAAGTCACGTCAAAAGGTTTTTCATCTTCTTATGGAGATCAAACATAAGGCTTATTAGGTTATAACGAATCTTAATCTCTCTTTAGACGCCATAGGTAAACACCGATGTTGCAATTGCAAGAGCTTCAAGAACTACCCAATGAGATGTACGAGAAGTCTCTAATTTACAAAGCAAAAATGAAGGCTTTTTATAACAAGAAGGAGAGCAGAAAGAGCTTTCATTAGCATCAAAAAGATTGGCTTTACAATTCTCAATTGAAACTATTCCTTGAGAAATTAAAATCTAGATGGGATGAACCATACCTTGTGATTAAAGTTTTTGACTATTGTGCAGTATTAATTGCAAATCTGAAAATTGGTAAAAATTTTAATGTGAATGGACAAAGATTAAAACCTTATTGAGAAATGAACCCTCCTTTACCCATTTCCACTCAATTATATGATCCATCCATTGAACCTCAATCTTCTTAGAACTTCCCCTCCATCATATACTCTAAGATGGCATAGCTTTCTTTTCCACTACATTCCTTTTTTATTATTTTTCTCTATCTTTTGATATTTTTCTTGAGTTTTTATTAAGTGAAAGGATCCAGCATTCTAGCGGAAGTGCATATCATGACACAGATTAATACAAAAGAAAATCAGAAAGGATGAAGAGTGAAAATCAGTTTGCACATTTAATGCTTTCTCCTTTTTCTCTTATATAGATGCATTGAGGTCAATGCGAATGGTTGTTTGGGGGGGAAGAATAAATGCATGAGGGTGAATACATGAGATTACATCATGTGCTATAATGCTTATAACTAAATGATGAAGTTCATCATCTTTCATGGTGCATATAACCCACACTCTTAAATTGAGAAAATCTACTTTGATCTTCTGCCAGATTTATGTTATGAATTCTTATTATTAACTATGAGTAGTAAATTGAATCTTTCTCTTTCATGATCAGTAGTCAGTCGAAAAGTTTTCAAATTAGTTGATGCTTTTATTAATCATTAATCATGATTAAACTTGAGACAAAAGGATAAAACATGGTAAAGATTACTTTAGAGAAAATAAAATAAAAATCGTAGTAGCACCTTAGCTGATTTCGTGGGGCTTCCACATGTGAAATTAGGATCAACAAGGCTTGCAAAATACTTCTTGTAATGATTCTTCTAGCTTTTACAGATCTTAATTTGACTAATTAAATCGTCTATAATCGCTTATGTAAAAATCACTAGGTAGAACTCTATTTCTGCCCAGTTTACATTCATTAGGTGCTGACATCATCTTGACATCTACACCTTTATTTCCCTTTTTCACACATTTTAAATATATTTTATTTTCTTTTTTAATTTAAAATTTATAAAAAATTGTATTCTTTGAGAACATTTATGAAATATTACTTGATATTTTAATTACATCCCTATGATTGACCTAGAAAATTTTCACTATTTTTAGAACTTTGATTAAACTATAATTAATATAATTATTCAAAAATACTTCTAAATATCAAAAAAATAATATTTTCTAGTTTTATAAATTTAAAATTTATGTGATTTACTAAACAAGGGATATTTTAGGTATTAATATTATTAAAACTTTTTGGAGACTATGACCCCAAGTTTAGTCCCACATTGGTTATATGCCAAGTTTTGAGGTTGATATAAAGTAATACTAAACTTGATAATTGATAAGTCTTCATTATCATGAGTTAATAATTAGTGAATAATATAGTTTTAGCCTGAACTCATGATAAATAGACTTATATTTATGTTAAAGTGTGAAAAGTTGTTTTTAGTTGATTAACGTGAATTGTTGGATAATTATGTGATTTTATATGATTTTATATGATTTTTATAGTCTTACTTTTGAGATAAATGAAGAAAAAGAAATTAAAATAAGAATAAGACAAATGAGGGAACCCCTTGGGCTCACAAGCAAGTCGGAAGCGCAGTTGGGGAGTAGCCGTGAGCAAGGGCTCAAGCGACTTGGACCGATTGGGCACATGTGTGCCACCCCCCTTCCACGTCACCGATGGCCAGTCAACTATGGGGTAAGGAGTAGTCATACACGTGCGAGAAAAGGACTTGATCGGAAATATAGTATTATATCACAAGAAATTTTGGCGCACAATCGATGTGGGACTTTTTTAACCCCCGTCACACCTCCCCAAAAAGGGCGGGGGGGCAACTGGCACAAGTTTGAATCCTCCTAGAGCCAAAACTCATATTTTGTTTATCTGTTTATCGCGACTTTCCTATAGATCACCGATGAAGGATTAAGCAACCAGAATCACTAGATCATCAGCAAAAATCTTGTCAATGCAATTCGTAAAGCATTGTTACTAAAATTGTTGAACGTTTCATGATAAAAAGATCGTGAATCCATCGAGTAACTCATCTCTGATTGATCGACGAATAAGCTATTATTGGGAGGAGGACGATCCGTTGGGAGACGAGTCGCCACCTCTTGAGAGCATACCAGATGCGATGAAGAGCCTCCTCTTGCTGTGTAGACCTGAGGATGAAGCTTCCTGACATGCGCCTCACCTCCATCCAGCTCCTCTCCATCGGGTGACAGTTGCTAGAGAGCCGCAAAGTTGTTGTTTCTCTACTTTGCCAGGTGGCAGCCATTAGAAATGATTCGACAAGCCATTTCATTGATCTCTAAACTTTGCAAGGAGATCTAGAGATTGCCCACATCACCTTTGTCCAAGAAGAGCCTTCAACGTTGTGGACACTACACGACGATCTTCCTGAATACTCAAAATTCTGGTGCATCACTGACGCATCACCGTCGCGACGCCGGAACTCTGTTTTCCTACTTTCAACTTAATTTTCCTTTCATTTAGTGATAATTTATTAATTTTAAATTTACAAAGATATACTTCATTTCATTATGATTCTTTCAGCTTTTCCAAATCTTAACTTGATCAATTAAATCGTTTGTAATCACTTATGTAAGAATCACCAAGTGGAATTCTATTTTCGCCTGATTTGCATTCACCAAGCATTGATATCATCTTGACGTCTACACCCCTACTTCTTTTTTTGTGAATTTTAAATATATTTTCTTTTCATTTACTAGTATAAAATTTATAGAAAATAGTATTCTTTGAGGATAATTTTGAATAATTATCAGATATTATATTACATCTCTTTGATCGACCTAGAAAATTATGCTATTTTAGGAAGTTTTATTAAATTATACTTGATATATTTATTCAAAAATATTTCTAAATATCTAAAAATTCATATTTTCTAGTTTTATAAATTTAAAATTTACATGATTACAATATGATGACTAAGTCATGTCAAATTTTGGCACCATTGCTAGGGATGTATTGCATAATATTTAGTATTTTTCTATTTTTCTCTTAGAGTACACAAAAAAAATTAACTCTTATTTTATTTTTTTTACTAATTTTTTTTTAAAAAAAAAGGAACGAAGAGAAGCAAGGCAAGGACTAGAGCATACTGAAGGAGGGTAATAATTACTAAACTTTTCCTTCAAATTTATTGATTTTTTTATGTATGGTAGAAGATCCTTACATCCAAGGCTAGAAAATCCTTTAATTATTTCATTGAAAAATAAAAATCCGAAAGAAAAATTAATTTTGATGGATCTTGAAGGAAGTACAGGTCAAACTGAGAACAATCCTATGGCCATGAAAAATCATTATATCTCTGATTCATTTCAAAGAGCATTAAATATTAGAGTCCCATTAGCACTCACTGTTAAATTTAAAATAAATCCAGGAATTTTTCAAATGCTCCCTAATTTTCATGGATTGCCTTTAGAGGAATCTCATCAGTACTTAGAAAAATTTCATATGATCTGTGATTTAGTTAATCTTCCTCAAGTTACATTGAAAATTATTAAGATGAAATTATTTCCACTTACACTTAGGGACAAAGCTAGCCATTGGCTATCCACATTAGATAGAGAATTAACTAGCTAGAAAGACATAGAACAAGATTTTCTTCGAAAATTTTATCCCTTAGGGAAAACTCAAAATATGAGAAAACATATATAGAGTTTTTCTCAAAGACCAGGAAAAACTTTACATGAGATATGGGAAACATTCAAAGATTTACTTAGAAAGTATCCTCATCATGCTATACCCAAGTGGCAGCTCAATAGAATTTTTTATGATGGATTATTAGAACAACATAAAAATATAGTTGATTCTATATGTGAAGGAGTCTTTATGGAGAAAACCCTTGATGAGATTTACAGTCTTTATGAGAATTTAAGTGAAAATTTGAGAGATTAAATCTCTTTTGAACTATATGACAGGGATATGAAGAGAGAAATTTATGAATTGCATCATGTTGATGATTCTAAACTTAGAAATGACGTTAATCAGATTAATCAAAGATTAAAAAAACTTGATTTACTTATTGAAAATATTAGAAAGACTCTTAACCCTCAATTTAATTCAAATAGTACACATCCTATGTATAGTGAAAATGATAATTTCGAATTTCAATATCATCATAGGCAAGAACAAGTGCAGGTACCCCACAATTTTAGTAAAAATAGAGAATATTTTTATAATTCTTATAACCTTAATTGGGGGAATAATTTTTCGTGGAGAAATCCAAATAATGTTCAAAATCTAGAAGCACTTAGATCTAATTCAAACTCTGAATTTCGTCCAAAATAAGAAAACAGATTTCAGAAAAATCAGCCCTCTCAAGCCCAACATGATACTATAGAAATGATACAGTAAATGAGCCAAATGATGCAACAAACTATGAATCAAATGATTTTGCACTAGAAACAAATTATAGAGGCTCTTGGGAATAAAAGAGAAGAGGGACAGCCACCTAGTCAGCCCATAGAAAATTCAGGAAACTATCCAACAATAGGATTTTAGCAAGGAGAGTCTAGCTGGATAAAGTTAG